TTTACAACATCTGATTGTTAATATTGGGAAATAATTGTATTTTTCAATATCTGATTGTTAATATTAGGAAATAATCGTATTTTACAACATCTGATTGTTAATATTGGGAAATAATCGTATTTTTCAATATCTGATTGTTAATATTAGGAAATAATCGTATTTTACACCATCTGATTGTTAATAATGGGAAATAATCGTATTTTACAACATCTGATTGTTAATATTGGGAAATAATCGTATTTTACAACATCTGATTGTTAATATTAGGAAATAATCGTATTTTACAACATCTGATTGATAATACTAGGGAGGTTATCGTATGTGTTTTGAGTGGAGAAGCAGGAATTCTTTACACCAAAGTTGAAGCATATCTTCAGTTGCAGCACAGGCCGTGTACCTCGTTAATGTGTTTTGGGTGGATATTTCAGGTATTCTTCAGATCAAGTTAAAGCATACCTTAAGTTGCAGAACAGGCCGTGTACTTAGTTAATGTGTCTTGGGTGGAGATTGGGGAATTCTTCAGATCAAACTTAAAACATATCTTCAGTTGCAGAACAGGCCGAGTATTTAGTTAATGTGTTTAGGGTGGAGATTGAGGAATTCTTCATATCAAACTTAAAACATATCTTCAGTTGCAGAACAAGCCGTGTACTTAGTTAATGTGTTTAGGGTGGAGATTGAGGAATTCTTCAGACAAAGTTACAGCATATCATCATTTGTAGTACAGGCAGTTTAATGCGTTCAAACAGCTAGGAGACCAGATCTGTTATACATAATATGGAGAACTATACAACACAGGACTCAGTTATGTCACACAATGCAAGAACACTCTCACAGGATAAAAGCACCACAAAAGATGATTTCATTTTCATGACGTCATCTTCAAATGACGTGGGAGGAAACAACTTTTGGACCAAAAGAGCTTCGGAAATTTATGAGACTTTTCTTTGTTAGATATCATGTTAGAAACCAATATCATATGCAGTATATACAAAATTCAAAATCTTGTATTACTTACCTAGATCAATATATTTGACTGATGTTTGAGATATATATGTATAATAAATATATTATTTGTTACGAAAAAATTAAATTTTCCACATAGTCTTAAATACATTTCATTTTATTATCTCCATGCTTCCTAACAGTTCCAAAATTTATATTTAGTGAAAAACAAAATTGCCAATATAACAAATCGAAATACATGAATGTAACAAAATAAACTATTAATAATTGTATGTAAGAAAAGGGAAATACTCATTTATATAGGACATCATTCCTTTAAGGGAAATACTCATTTATATAGGACATCATTCCTTTAAGGGAAATACCCATTTATATAGGACACCATTCCTTTAAGGGAAATACTCATTTATATAGGACATCATTCCTTTAAGGGAAATACTCATTTATATAGGACATCATTCCTTTAAGGGAAATACTCATTTATATAGGACACCATTCCTTTAAGGGAAATACGCATTTACATAGGACATTATTATTTTAAGCAAATCGTTACCTAAAGCATTCCTGCATAATTCTTGTTTGTTTTTTTATTCGATGGTTATACAGCTCTTTTAAAATATGCAGTAAGTAAGCGTAACCTAAAACACTTCAGCGTAATTCCTATTCGTTTTTTAAGTTGATGGTTATACAGCTCTTTTTAAATATGAGGTAAGTAAGCGTTACATAAAGCATTCCAACGTAATTTTTGTTTGTTTTAATTCGATGTCATACAGATCTTTTAAAGTATAAAACAAGCATTTCAGCGTACTTTTTTTCGTTTTTAATCGATGGTTATACAGCTATTTTAAAACATGAAGTAAGTAAGTAAGCGTTACCTAAAGTATTCCAGCGTTGTCTTTATTTGTTTTTTTAATTCCATGGTTATACAACACTTTTTAAAACATGGCAACTGCGATTTCCGAATAAATAATTTGAAAAAGGTAAATCTATACTTTTTTTATGTTCGCCTAGAAGACATCGTCTTTTTTCTAGTTTTTCAATACGAAATTTCTTAATTTTCTGATTTAGAGACATCCATTTATTAGGTTCTCAGTTAGTATGATATATGAGAAACAAAAACAAGAAAGAGAAAGTGTCAGTCAGAGGAGAGTATACTTGGTGGGCATTCTTAATGGAATATATTTGTCTAGGAAGGTTTTTGGGACGTTTTGAATTGCTAGAGCAGTTCTTCGTAGGGCCGAAACGTCGTCCAAAAAACCCATTTCATTTTTCATATTTCTGTTGCATATCACAATATTTTAATTTACTGGATGAAAACAAATGTTTCTTTATGGAATAATATTAGTTTTTATTAGACACAACACGTAATAAGTTTAGTGGTTCACACTCAAACCATATATAACGAAGAAACAACCAATTAATTCCAAGTTGTTATAAGGTCACATGAAATTTGCAGAATATATGTCACCCACTAGGAGGCGCAGTAAATATGTTGTATAATCAAACTTATGATCGAATATTAAGCAAGCTTACTGCATTAATGTGATACCGCAGAAAATTATGTTTCCCCATGAATTTGTAGTTATCTCACTTTTAATATATCTTTCCAATTAAAGAATGATTAATATTCGCACCAAAACATTGAAAGTTAAAATATACTATGTAGAAATTAATAATTTTAGTGAATAATCCAATTACATCAACGATTAAGGTAACAGTTCTTCAATTATATCTAATTGGGAGCAACACATAAGAACGTGGCGGAGTTATAGACTCCACCGTAACCGCCTGTCTGATCACCACCCAAGTGCCCAAAGCTGTCAGCAGTCTTTCCAGTAAAAAAAAACAATTATGCAATTTGACCTGACCATTATATACTATGACAGTTTCTTACAATCATTCTTTATAAGTAAATCATATATATACCTTACTCAGGTACATGCAGACTTTTTACACGATAAATGGCGTGCTTTTTTTATTCAAGGTTATTTTTGCACTTTAAATGTAAGAAAGAACTCTTAGTAATAATAAATTCTGACTTAACGTATCACTTTTTTTTCTCAGAATAATTTTGTAAATATTATAATATAAAAATTATCGAAATGCTTCTGTTTTTTTTTTCTTATTTGAGTATTTTCCCTCAGAAATAAGGATGAGAAGTTATCGATGTGATCATTATGTATGGTCAATCATGTGGCAATGGTTGAAGAAATCGTACGAAATTTTATGTGCAACTAAAAGAACAAAGAAAATATTTTACAATACGGCGTGATCTGTTTTTGATTTACACGATAAAATAAATGATTTATTCGACAACATATTTAGTTTTATTATATGTACTCTAACGATGTTTTAATCAATAAACACTAACAAAAACAATAGATAATTAAGGTTCTTACAAGTAGGACGTTCTACTTGACTTATTTGTCCATTAAAGTTATCACTGATCGAAAAGTGATTCGAAATTAAATTGAATGGCATTGTCTAACAAAATGGCGATTACTTGAAGAATAAACTCTTGTATGTTCCTTCATTAAGTTTGTAAAAAAACATGAGTAAAGTATTCATTCGTTTATTGTTACTATGCGCTAGTCACACTGTATCACAATAACAAATTAACAATATTTTGAAAGATGTAGTGCTTAAGATGCAGTGTACATGTATGTACTGCTACGTACAACCCATAAACTTTCAATCGAAAACTAAATGAGTCATTGTTCGAACTAAATGAACATTGAAACCGTAAACCATAAACAGAAGTTACGAATACATATCTAAGAATCTGAATAAGAAGGATACAACATATATGTATATATCAGAATTAATCCGTTATATTTTTAATGGGAGTGTGATTACAGAGAAGGGAGTTAAATACAGACGCAGAACTCTTCATAACTGTGGTTGTTTTGCGTGTAACAGTCACTTTTGTTAGCATACCGATGTACGCTTTATACATAGAATTTCAGATTGTCAGACACACAATTAAAACGTTGCTCGTGACAGTTCTCCGTTGAGAACATGATTACGCCTACTGACGGATATTTTAATAACGACAGCCAACACCAGATGTGACCGGTAGAAAGGTGTGTGTTATTTAAACGTTGATTGGCTAACGTCACATGGCCTTCGATATCAAGGGCGGTCTCCAAAGAGCGATAGCAGCGTTTTGCTTCGAGTTCTAATTTTAGTTTACTGTGGTTCTTTGATTTTGTTGGGATGTATATAAAAAGCAGTCGTCATTTTAAAGAATTCTTCAGAGCACACTGACCAACAGATCGGACCCTGAGGCCATATGTGACACTTTAACAATTACAGGACGTGTGTGAACCGATTCTGTGGTTCTCCTCTAGCGACCGAGTTGTTGTTCTTGAGTATCTTCTCGGCTGTGAGTCGATAAGAGTAGCGGCAATTTTTAAGATTATGCCGGTACTTCTGTAAACTGTGATTGGAACGCACTGACTCGGGGTAGGAAACGTTTTAACTCTTGAGAAGCAGTGTGGTATATATATATATGGCACTGGACACTGGCAATTCCCACGAAATGGCTAACAGTCGCGAGCCAGATAAGCTGAGAAAAATCTCGGGCGAGAACGAGCAGAAAAACAGTCGAAATCAGATTACTTTCTCGAACCATAGCCAGGTTCTGATCCCGTCCGCCGGGACTGCGAGGTCGCTGAAATTTTCTATTGAAAATATCTTATCTCCAGACTTCGGGAAGGCTGCAAATGAACGGCGGAAAAGCCCGATAAAGAACTCCAAAACACCCAAACAGAAGGTTCCTGCCGTACATGGTGCAACCAAGCACAAAAATGCCAGCGGAAAGTCTGCCGCCGAAAACAACCCGGATAAAGCTGGTACCTCGCCATCACATAAGCCTTGTTCGCCCTGGCCAGCGTGGGTTTTCTGCACTAGATACTCGGACAGGCCCTCTTCAGGTGAGTTCAAGATCAAATGTGTTGTGTGCATGTTTTCGCCTTGAGTACAATGGCAGCTTAGTAAAGCTAACAATCTACTTAACAGGATTTATCTGAAGGTAACTAATAAGCTTCAATCATCTTGTTAAACGAGCTTACAGTAAAGCAAACGCGAAACAATCGTGCGTCAAACAAAAGTATACATTTATACAAACAAAGAACTATAAATCTTACAGCTTTATACCCTTATATGAAAGCTTAAAATAGACTTATTAAGAAACAAAACAAAAACATATATAATTCCATAGAATTAATTGCGTCATTTAAAACCAGACTATTCTACCGTTTCGGGTGTCTTCGTATCCATTAATTACAGTCATGCGGCTCAAGCCAGATCAAATAAAAATAAATAAAAGTTTCGGAAAATTAACTCCCGTGAAGATTTTTTTCCAGACCATCTGGTTTCTGATGCTAATTATAATGTTTGAATAGAAATGTGAGGAGAGGGGGTGAAATTGCGGAATGATATGAGCTAAGTAAAATATTTCAAAACGTACGAAATTTTCGAGTTAATACGGAAAAAAAATACATTAAAAAATACAGTTTAATGAGACCTGATGTTAGTTATTTAAAACAACAACTTAATTTGTGATAAGTTTGTTTATGCAGCTAAAACGATTGGTACCGATGTGAAAATTGTGTTTTATTGTTGTTCCGTCTTCATTACTTAAATTACGTTTGTTACTTCAATATATTTATACTTTTATATATGAGAGTTTTATACTTTCAAATATATAAAAGACAACAATAAATTAACAAAGCTAATTTCCTGTGTATAACAATTTAAGCTTGATATTAATGATACATCCTGGGGTTTGGGATTAATGAGCCCGAGGCTAGTCTGCTAAACCTAACATAGTTAGAGCCTCGAGAACACGGGAAAGGGTTTTTATACTACAGATGTTCCGTTTCCCTACAATCTAGTTAATAGTAGGTAAACTACAATGAACTTTCAACAGTCACAAATCTTCAGGAGCTAATTGTCGCATTAAAACACACTCACTTCATAAGAATATATGATTACAGACGTGAGACGCAATTTATTTTGTATGTGTGTTTATTTGATACGTAAACGCGTTTACTTTGTAAATAAATTATTGATAAAAATCAAGTTATCTGTTTTTCCGCTCTTGTAGGTTTAATTTAGTGTCCACAAAAAATGTAAACTTAAGAATCCTTTAATTAAACAGTTATTTAATATACACATTATATACAGTTCCATATTTGAATTCAGATAATGAATTTTTAAACAAACATCTAATTTTAATGTTTACTGACAATCAACGTTATTTTCCTACCAAACACGAAACGTATTTAAAATTTTATGAACATTTAAAAAAATAATATAATATTTGATGTTTTTTGAGCAACCTCTCTAGAATTACTTTAAAACATATTTCCAATGTTTTTATGGTTCAATTAAAACTTAAGAAAAACAACAAAAAACACTAACATTTTGATTTCAAAAAGATTTATATTATAGTAATAGTAGCTCCATTATCTGATAGTAATAGTAACTCCATTATCTTATAGTAATAGTAACTCCATTATCTGATAGTAATAGTAACTCCATTATCTGATAGTAATAGTAACTCCATTATCTGATAGTAATAATAACTCCATTATCTTATAGTAATAGTAACTCCATTATCTGATAGTAATAGTAATTCCATTATCTTATAGTAATAGTAACTCAATTAGCTTATAGTAATAGCAACTCCATTATCTTTATAGTAATAGTAACTCCATTACCTTTATAGTAATAGTAACTCAATTAGCTTATAGTAATAGTAACTCCATTAACTTTATAGTAATATTAACTCCATTATCTTTATAGTAAAAGTAACTCCATTATCTTTATAGTAATAGTAACTCCATTATCTTTATAGTAATAGTAACTCCATTATCTTTATAATAATAGTAACTCCATTATCTTTATAGTAATAGTAACTCAATTAGCTTATAGTAATAGTAACTCCATTATCCTATAGTAATAGTAACTCCATTATCTTTATAGTAATAGTAACTCCATTATCTTTATAATAATAGTAACTCCATTATCTTTATAGTAATAGTAACTCAATTAGCTTATAGTAATAGTAACTCAATTAGCTTATAGTAATAGTAACTTCATTATCTTTATAGTAAAAGTAACTCCATTATCTTTATAGTAATAGTAACTCGTGTCTATATGCTATTGTACTTCATCTTGTAGTTTCATAATAATCATTGTAAACATCGTTGTTTGTCATAGAGAAAGATTTGACCTCAACCTTCCATGACAGATTACGAACGGCATCCTTCACTTGATCTGTTAATTGCTGTTTCTGCTAATTGTATATTAAACAGGAGAATAAGAAAACTGATCAACTGGAAAGCAACTTAGGTAACTGGAGTGACACTATAACTTTCAAACTAACATGTGTTTGTTCTTTAAGTTTGCTAGATTAGCAATATATATATATATATGTTACGCAATTAGGAATTACACTAGTCAAGATAATGAAGTTACTATTACTATAAAGATAATGGAGTTACTATTACTATAAAGATAATGGTATTCTGATTCAACTATCTTGTGATATCTTAGTAGCAGACTTGTTATTCTTCAGTGATGGCAGTTTATACCCGTATTTATTTGTAGTGTGACATTTTGTACTTGTGACAGTATTTTCTGTAGATGGATAAGTGTGACGTATAGTACTTGTGACAGTATTTTCTGTAGATGGATAAGTGTGACGTATAGTACTTTTAACAGTTTATAAGTTATCTGATATTTGTATTTCTGCCAATTGTTCTGAATATGAAACTGAGTAATAAGAGTGTCGGATTTGTGAACTGAGGATCTCGGATTCGAGACGTGGCCTTATGAAACGCTTAACACATTGTGGGCATGCTATAAGAGTAATGGACAGTTGTTAATAATAGCCCCTTTAGACGGCAGGCTGCTTGTCTTCATTCTCATCTACAATTCAGGCCATTTAAGCCATTGTGTGAACAAACAAACAGTTTATCTGTCGGACAATGCGATCTATTGTTGAGAAAACTGACCGAAACAACTTATTTTTGAAACATACAAGGAAACGTGTCTTATGTGTCCATTGTACAGTTTTAAGTTTTTGTCGATTTATTTTTCTTCTGTCCTGATTTGCGCATCTGTAGCGTACAACTCTGAAGCAATGTCTTCCTTGTACACTTCACATTAAAGGTAGCATCCTCACAACTGAATGTTGTTCAACCTTCCTGAAGGTGGCAAAGCTTTAATCGAAAAATGTTATTTTCACATATGCTTAAGACATCAAGATGTGTAAGCTTATGGATCTAAATCAATCCGTTTGGAATGGTATAGACAACAGAAGTATAAAACAATAGCAAATAAATAACAAGTCTTTCTGTGTTTCTGAGATTTATGTCCATGGCTTTATATTTATATCTATCTATATGTGTGTGTGTGTGAGAGAGAGAGAAAAGGAGTAAAGAAAGTAATATTGTGGAGTAAACTTATTAAATTACAATAATACTGACTTAACGTGCCTCTCATATAAGACTAGATATTTATTCGGTACAGTTTTGGCATATCTTACCTAAAATTATCATGAAGAGGAGGAAAATTAATTGAATGATATGATACGGAAACAACTGCACCCATAGTAATATTAGCCTGGTATAATGAGATCAAGCGCACTTTATAAAAACGATGTTTCAGATCCTGTGCTGTCCTTGGAAATTCATCTTTCGTCGTAGATCGTGCTCATTCTGATGATAATAATTGCGCACTATTCCTAACGTAACACGCTTCTGCGAAAGATTGCAAGGTCAACCTTAGACCACACATTTTGACAAATTTTCCCTACACCGTTTACTTTAAGTGGTCGTCGGCTTTCAAGATCACGTTTAAGCAGATGAAAACAAAACAAAAAAATAATAATTGGGGGTTGCACCTGGGAGGGAAAAGACTTGACAGATATGTGGTGGGATGAGATTATTGTGATTTCAGCTGGAAACTTGTGAATGTTTGGTTTATGGAGCCTTCATCAACTTCAAATCCTTGTTTAATATTTTGTTAATGGTGCTAAGAAATATGCATATCTTCAACGAAATGGCTTTTTTGGGTCAGAAGGTCCTCTTTCGTAATCATAACTTTCATTATGTGAATTAGGATACTGCTCCAGATTACGCGAGTTTTTCAATTTTCACGGATAACACTCAAAGCTCTCGTCTTCGAATCTGCATCATTTAAAAGTCCGACTTTGTGAATGTTTCTCGGAAACGTTTTGACATTTCTCCTTATTTATAAGTCTACCAGTCTGTCACTGTCGAATTGTATGTAGGGAGTAAAAATGTTGTCTGTAGCGCTACGCCTCACGTCTGAAGCAAAACGCCACCATATTAGCATATAAAAATAATTAAGTTAAAGTGCAATTAACAACCTGTAATATGCTTGAAAAATAGCATTTTTACCTAACTTAAAACAATCGAAAACTAGAGATCCATAAACAAAGCAAAATGAACGACAATGGCGCGTATAAAGTTTATGTCAACAAACTGTTTCAAAATTAAAACGATCCACGATGAAATTTTTACATTCAAGATATTCACAAAACAAATTACTATACGGGTCGAAAAAATTATAAACAGAAACTACTTGCTTTATTAGTTTATATCTACAGGAGGAAGCTGGTTCTTCCTGAAAAAGTCTACAAAACATCAGCTAAGTTTATATTTGATCTTGTTATGCTTAAATGGCCGTACTTGAGACGCAATGTCAGAACTGAGTACAATGTTTTCGTTTAAAACCAAAGTTTTTATGTCCAGTTTGAATTTGTTTTGGTTTTCTCAAATAAAAAATGTACTACCTAGCAAGGAGTTGTAGGTAGTTAAGAACAGGAACTGAGAGTGTCTTCTTCGCTTATAGCACTTTCGCTAGTATCTCACATGTCCATAACTTTCTTATCATTGTC